CACCTTCACCGGTAGCGGTGGCGGGGGAGGTGGCGAGGGCGGTGGCGGAGGCGGGGGAGGTAGCGACTCTGGCGAGGGCGGTGGCGGGGGAGGTGGCGGTGGCGAGGGGCGAGGCGTGGACGGTGATGTTGGTCACGGTGGTCACACCATGACTCGCATGCCTGCCATCGTTTTGAAGCGGTTGAGACGCGGGGGCAGACGGGATGACAGCATTGCATCTCGTGTGCGTAGACCTCGTGTGCACGTCGCGACCAGGACGGAGGCACATGTCATGCAGCAGGACCCGGTCGTCATGTCGGAGGATGACATGGGTGATCATCCCGCGTCGTTGGCGCGGGAGGAGAGTGGAGCGGTGGTCACTCGTCCCCGGTCACCGGAGCCGGCTGTTGGCACCGCGAAGGACACGCAGCTCCATCGCATGCCTTCCACAGATGTTGTCATGGGCGAGGACGGGGCGCCTAGGGCGGAGGTCGCTTCCGCAGGAGTGGGTTTGCAGGACGGGGAGGCACCACCCCCTCCCACGACAGGCGGTGGTTTAGAGGACGGAGAGGTCGCACATACTCCCGCTTGTGCCCAGGATGGTCTCGAGTCTCTACGCTACAGTAGAGAGGAGGTGGCGCATGTGCTGGCGAGCTGCGGTTACCGCGCTGAGGATATCCGCGACACATTGGCGGGATACCCAGACAGGTTGCAGCAGGGCGTCGGGCTCCATTGCCCGCCCGACAGTCTTCCGCGCACTGATGAGTTACTAGCCATCGACGCAGCCTTAGCAGGTCTGCCCGAAATATTGATTTTGATATCTCTCAGTTTGCCAGACGTGGCGCCACCAAAGGCTGCTCCGCTGGATGAGACGCATCACGACACAGGATCCGACGCGGTCGGCGGCGACAAGAGACTGCTTCCTTCAGAGGTCCGCAGCTCTCCTGCCGGTTTTCATGTGGGAGGCCCGTGGACTGTGGAGCAGGGGTTGGCGGATGAGGTGGCACGAAACCGCCATGGTGGGCCGCGCGTCGCAGCGCAACGCAGTCTGGGAGAGTCATTAGAGGCAGCATCCACGGATCATGTGGCGCCTGGGGGTCGTGGTTCGCAGGATTTTTCGGACGGCGGGTCATTAGTCCCAGCACGGGCGGCGGGTCAGCAGGCAGAGCCCCACCTGAGCCCGACGGCGGCGACAGAGGCGTAGGTTCCGGGGGTCATTCGGTCGGGAGGACGCGAGGGCGCGGGGCGGGATCTGGCTCAACCACGGAGCGCCGCTGATGGTCATCCCGTCGGCGGGGACAGTGAGCATGGCGGGTCATCGACCACACACCCTGCTGCTGGCGGGCCCATCGCACATGGTGTTCGAGGCGGGCATGCAGGTGACCCCTTACCGCATCTGCCGGGGATTTGTCCACCACCCCCGCACCCCCCCGCCGTCGACCCCGCCGCCCATGACTTGGATGCGCGTTGTGCATTGTCGATGATGTCTTTCTACGATGGCGTGGGCACGGACTGGAGGGCGGGCGATACGGGACATTCATCAGCATGTGGACCAACGGATGTGCCCGCGGGCTTGCGGTTGATAGGCCACGTCGATGGCAGTTGTCACGAGTCCATGAGAGCTTTCGAGGAGCGGCATGGGAGGCCCATACGGGCCAAGACAGAGGACGTCCATGACACCAGGATGGCAACTGCAAGGCTATCTTAGGAGAGGAAGAAGGGTACAGGTATGTCGATTCCGTATCACCGGCGCTGCCCGCCACCTATTTTTCGCTACAGAGATCAGTCCAGACAGATGTCGGCGGCTGCTGACGGACAGGCGGGGGCAGACGGGGGTGACGGCGTGGACGGACCAGGGCGAGGTGAGAAGAGACGAGGCGGCTGGAGCATCATCCATGATGACAATTCCACAGCCGCTGAGGCCAGCGAGACCACAGGGGCCGACGATCCTAATGACTCCGATTACGTGCCAAGGTTCCGGATGGCAGATGGAGATGATGGTGGAGGACGACGCGTGAGGCAGAGGACAGGACTCGGCCCGCAAGGGCAGTGCACACCATCGGCCAATGTGCTGCTTATTGATCGATGGGCTCGAGCTCGCTCTATGTTGCGCAGGCAGGAGGAACGAAGTATGGCGTGGGAGATATCGACATTGGGAGAGAGAGAGAGAGAGAGAGAGAGAGAGAGAGAGAGAGAGAGAGAGAGAGAGAGAGACGTTGGTAATGTGTCACGGGCGTGTGTTCTGTACTCTATGTGCAACGACTTGCTGATTTCTGGTGCCGTGACTGATTGCGAGGCTGTACTATTTCTGTGTGGTTTGCAATGTCTTGCATGCTGGCTGACTTTGCTACGTGTGTTGTTGTGTGCGCACGTCAATCCCACTGCGACCTATGGTCTGTTCTGAAAATAGAACCGGTCCGGTCCT